TGGGACCATAATCCGCCCTCCACACACTCTTTGTCCATGTATATGTCCTGGTCAATCTAAATGTCTCTTATAAACTCATAAGATAGGTGACAGAAATAGACAGGCCTGAACAGCAGAGGTGAGGGAACAACAAGGGGGTGAGGGTAGAGGTGGGGGCTAGGAAGACCTGCTAGTATGCTATAAAAACCCTTGTGGAATTAGTGTATTAACAGGACTCTTTTAAACCAACACATTTTTATTTTTCAACTTCTCTGGATTTAAATAAGAGGTCCAAACCAAAGATGCTTAGAATTGACTACAACAATAGAATTAAACACAATTAAAAGACTTTGCAGATTATAAACAAACACCAGTGCCAGCTGACTTTGAAGAATATGAGAAAGTCATATTGTTCCCATGGGGAACAACTGCAGCTCCTGTCTGCACCAACGGGCAGCTCTTTGGTCGGGAATACGAATCCTCCGTGACATTAAAGACACGGTTGTTTCATCAGGCAAACACACCGTCACAGTTACAGTCACATGACCTCCAGCAGCAGATAAGGCCCCGGCTGCGTGGTCAGAGTGGGTGCAGATAGTTGCCTGTATCAGCTGCTGGGTGCAGAGTGATGTGCCTCTGCTAACAGGATATCAGTGTCTTACAGAGGCGTCACCGTCTCCAAATATAAACATGGACAAATGGCATTTAGACAGCAGCACGTTGGCCTGAGATCAGCGTCACCTCATCGTCAGGACAGGTCAACGTAGGACTCCAATATTTAACTTGGACTTTGAAAGGCACGTGCACTCAGGAGAGTCATGTTACAGACAATGTACAGCAGGGGTACACAACCCTCGGACCGGGGATCACAGCCGGTCTGTAGGTCATTTGCTACAGGGCCACAGTGAAAACAAATGTACTTCAGTTTTTACCTAAGGTCATGACGTAGGTCATAAAAGATTTACAGTGTCAATACACAAAAGTGTTTTGGACAATCCTTGTAATGTGGTTCACCCTTAAATAATGACACAATAAAAAATAAAAAAAATTAGTCATGGCAGCAGTTGACTCTGTGTGTGATTGACAGCATCACCACCCAATGAAACACTGAGAACCTCACACCATCAGCAGTTTTCCCTGTCGTTGTTTATTCCTAAGTCTTGTCCTGTAATCACGTTTTATCAAAGAAGATTCAAAACAAGTGAGACGTAAAAAAAAAACATCTGAACCGTGCGTCTACCTTGCTGCTGTAGGCCTGACTGGCTGCTGCAGGCTGGGAGTAGTACTGAGTGACTGCCTGCATGTAGGAACTGTAGTCTCCATATGTGGACACTGGTGGAGGCTGAAACACAGCAAAGGTCTGCTCAGTCATCCTGTACAGATTAGGGAAACTCTAGACTAGACGGAGCTATTCTGTTATGGATTTGGTTAAGTCATAGTCAATATTGCAGATTAAACACTTTGTGTCAGATTAACAAGTATTTTTGATCACTGCAATAGCAAACAGGTAATACTGTTTGATGGACAAGTGACCGTCAGTTTCTCTTTGCATTTCATCATCGACTGTGAAGTGTGGTTTACCTGCGTGTGTTCCTTGCTGAAGTCTGAAGCTGTGCCGTCCGGTGGAGCAGCGGTGCTGTAGGTGTTAGCCTGTGCAGCCTGGTAGTGCTGGTACCACTGCTGCATGGCCTCCTGTGGTACAAACAGGAGGTGAAGAAGAGATGAGATTTTTTTTTTTCTCTTGCTCATTTCACAGAACTTTTCCTTTCTCATTTATTTATTAGAGACAACAATGTTCATCACTGTCGTGTGTTTCCACACACATCTGAGCAGCTGATCCATTAGTCATCTACTCCTGATTCATTTGTTTGGATGAGTAAATCATAATTAACATTTAAAATTGGGTTTGCATCACAGCACCAAAAACAGATATATCACATCACAGAGCTCGAGGAGAGCTGACATCAGAGGAGATGGAGGGTGAGGAGCTATGGGAGGAAAGGGGGAGACGGAAACAGAATTAGAATTAGAAAGAATTAGGGAGGGAGAAAGCAGAGAGTGGTGAAGTGGGAGGTGAGTGGGGAGAGAGAGTCTGATGAAGTCCCACAGTGATGGAGGACACACTGTCAAATCACTTCCTATCCTCTTTGTCCAAATTCCCCAAACCGTCCCCCACTCACTTCCACCCTCTCCTGGTTATCTCTCTCTCTCTGTCCCTGACGCACTCATCCTTCCACTCACTTTGTTTGTATCCCTCCATCATTCACCCAGCAACAACAACACGACCACCTTCACTCTAGCGTCCTGACGTACCTGTGTGTACGCCTGGTTGTACTGACTGTAGTCAGTGCTGGCGTCCGTGCTGTAGGGGGCGTTTGTTGTTGCAGCAGAGCTGTAGGAGTAGGAGCCTGAACCCTGGGACACCACAGGAGCAATAGTGTTGTTGTACACTCCAGGGCTGGGCTGTCTAGCCTGTGCCTTACTCCCCACTGACCCTGTAGAAACACACAGCACACACACAGTCTGAGGCCTGGCTTTGAACACTCAATGGGCTTCATGGGGAGGCAGCAGCTGTTGTCATCTTTGACCAAAGATAAAAAATAAAGCCCCAGGGATAAAACGCGCCCTGTAACACCTTCAAAGGAAAACTAAACAGCCACCAAACTCAATTAGCGCTGATGACAAAAGGAACCTTCAAGGTCCTGATTATTTTGTCATGCAAAAGAAGCTTTTATTTGACTTCCTACTCACATTTCTTTAACTCAACTGTAGCTCCAAAAGAACTAGAAACACAGTGGAAAGTATGTTTATTAGCGAAGCAGAACATTAAGGATCTAAAGAATCTGCTGCTATGTTTGCAGTTGTTTCTGCAGAAAGCCTGTCGTCACCTTTGTTTGATGTTCATAACTGCACCAGACATTTTACAAAGAGACAGATCTGGACTGCAGGCCGGTCAAGCAAACAAAGTCTTTGTGTACAAAACAACACTTTATGAGTTTGTGTCAGACAAGGCTGTTGTTGTCCTGTCCTTCTCCTTTGCATAACACTTTTAGATTAGTATTTGAGGCATCCAGATACCCTGAATTATCAAATATTTTTGAGTGAATAACGGGCCTGTATTTTAATCAAATGCAAAACAAGTTTAGTAACAGCTGAGAAAAAGTTAAAAGTTAGATGAAGAGAAAAGAAGAAAATTTGTAAAATTCCTGACCACATTTTTGCTCTTCACTTTCGTGTTCAATATAGATATCTAGCTGGATGTTAGTGCAACATACTTTATGCTAATCAAACTAAATAAAAAACCCATAATTTTAAACCATAAGGACAGTAAAACTGACTACCCTGAAAAGCCCCACTCAGGGAAAAGCTCCAGTTTACGCAGTGATTTTCCATCCTGCTAGTAGACATGAAATATGTTGATTTTATTTCATAAAAAGTGTCTTGATTCCTATAGAACACCTCAAAGTAGCACAGCCAGTCTCTGGGCTGGACATGGGAAATGCCTGAAAACTCATCTGAAACTCTCTCACTACTCTCAGTACTCTTTACCCTACTTTCTCTCACTTCTTCCATGTTCAGCTTATGTATCAGGATTATGTGGGTGAAACCAACCACCATTGTCTGCATAATGAGCTCCTTCTTCAAGAAGTGGAATGCACACATCTTCTCAAGCTGCTGTAGAAATGTGTCAGTGCTGGATGACAACTTCTGGAAAAACAATCCCTTGAACGCTACTTCAAACTACTCCGAAGCTACAAAAACAATACACTCTTCTGTGTTATTACCCACATTTTTACTTTGTTTACTTTGCCAATAAATCTTGGTAAATGTAAAGATTTTGCTAAATGGATTCATTCTGAGTGCAGAAGTCTGTCTGAGTGAGACCGTCTACCTTGGAGGACGACCCCTGGCATCACACTGGCCAGGTTCAGGTAAGGATTGGAGGGGAGACGGACTTCTTTAGGAGGATCACCCAGCAGAGAACTCTGACCACCGCTAACCTGATGAGACAGACAGAGGCTTAAGTCAGCATTTGGAAGTCACAATCCTGATCTTGCTTCAATCTGGTTTCCTCCACAAAATCATCCCCAAAATTCAACATCCACATTTTTAAGTCGTCAAATTTTTCATGAGCTCCTGAAGAGTCAAAGTCAGTGGAAATCCTCAGGGGGGGTTTTCTCTCTGTTAATTACACTTCCCTCCATTAGACAGACTTCAGAGAGGACAGTGCAGCGGCTGGAATCAGTTCCCCTGAGAACTGCAGAGCTGTGGTAATCTAAAATACTCTACTATGAATAAAAGTGTGCTATATTTAAATCCCATCTATTCATGACATCAGCACCGAAGCAACATTGGGACCACCTGTCTGGAGGTCCCAAAGTAGAACCATGGTCCTTTTGAAAAAAAAAAAAAAAAAGGAAATAACTACCAGTCGACCTGTAGATGAAGACTGTTCACGACCTGGGAAAAAAAACTGTTGTAAAAAATCTACAGAAACTGGGACAATGATGCCGTCACTGTTGTAGGAAAAACTGGATCGCTTTACTTCATGAAGAATCACTCCATACAGATTTTACTGTGTATTTAAAAGCCAAGTGGCTAGTTTATACAAACAAGGACAAACATTTAAAAAAGTATTTTAAGTGTCTGTCAAAGAGTTCAATTAATAATAAAAAAATGGACAATTACTATTGATATTTGTCTACTATAACTAACTATAGAAATGGCCTGTAATAGTAATGATAAACAAGACTAAAGGCTGGTTCTAATGACACAGAACCTCATTTCTGAGAGTGAAGATTGTGTGGAAACCTCTGTGTGTGTTGTATGTCTGCTCACTTCTCACCATGCTAACCAGGGAGCACCCATCTGCACCGCTGTGCTGCCCTGTTGATGTATAAGCTCCTCCAGGGGGTTTCGGCGGAGGTGGGCCGACGCTTGCGTTACTTACTGCCATGGAAAAGCTCTGTCCCTGCAGCTGGGAACCCAACATTGTCCCAGGAGGAGCTGGCTGTCTGTCACAGGAGTAGGAGGAGGAAGAAGAGAAGGTGGAGGAGGCAGAGGGGGCTGTGGAGACAGAATGGGAGCTGATTGGTTCTCCCACCCCGGCTCGACCCTGGAGGTATGGCATTATACCTGCTGCTGTGACCACCACCGTGGCATTGTGTGTTGAAGGAGGCACTGGTTCTTGACTCAAATCTGCAAATCAGGAAAATATGGGAAAGAAAACAGAGTAAGAGACAAGATTAGAACGAGGGGGAGGGGACGTCAAGAAAACAAGTAGAAATGTAAAAGGAAGACAAATGTAGCAAATGTATGGGAGGGGCAAAATTCAGAAAGATAAACAAAGAAAATGAAATTAAATCTGGAGAAACGGAAGCAGATGTAAGACTGACTGAGGATTGACACATGAAATGGCTTTCATAGATAACCATCAGTGTCCCTGTCTCCTCTGGACAGAGACAGATCACTCAGACTGCTGGAAAAACTGAGCTGAGCTGGAGTCACACCAGCAGACATTTCTGAGTTATCATGTTTATGTGCAGCTCCAATATTCCACTCACTTCAGGGTTTCATAAATAAAAACATGTACCATAAACACCTACGTACTGTATACACAAGCACAAATAATAATAAAAAAAAAAAATACTGCAGACACGAGGGCAACAAAAACCCAATTAAACACACACAATAAAGGATAACAGGTACACACTCACACTCCTTAAAAATCTAATATTCTGGTGAAAAATGGTCTCAGCAGCACAATAAAGCAATCAGCTCTAATAGGCCTAAAGCTAATAATCTCAGCTGACACACACACACAAATACACACACACAAAGATAAAAGCTTTAACTGCAAACCAGTGCACAGCATCAAAGCGGCAGACACACTGGTGTTTGTGCACACACAATAAAACGATGCATCATTTCCATTTAACAACAAAACAGCAACGTCTCAGCTGCACATATGAAATGTAAATTCACTGCCGTTTCCCCAGGACGTGTTTCACAGTAATATACAACTGTGAGGTACGTGAACCTGAACAGAGATGCACGCAAATTTCTCTTTCAGGCTCCTCAAAAAAAGATGGAAGTGCCAAACAGGTGAAGGCTCTCACCTCTTATTGAAAGAAAATCCTGTTTGTATATGTCTGTATATGTCAGTTACTAGTCCATTCACTACCTATAATTAATTTATAATACAAATATTTTCCCCAATGATTTCAGGATTTGAATCAGGTCTTTTCTACAGAGAGCTGTGTCCCTGGCATAAATAACTCTCTTATTTACAAATGAAATAGAAAAAAAGTGAATGGCTAAAACGAACAGATACTGAAGACAAATGACATTGAAGTTCCAATGTTGAATTCCTATTTGAGAAAAACTAAGACTGTAATAAGGACAGATTCAGATTCAGCAAGATGTGTGTAAGAAAAAAAGTACAAGTCTAGAGAAGACAGGATACATTTTTCTGCTGTCAGCAAGTAAGCCGGCCAATCCTCCATGAACCCAGACTTACTTTGGTTTAAGAGTTCTACAGACCTTGGAACTATTTCTGGAGTAAATGAATGACATTTTCCCACTCCTGATATTGATGGTAAACTGTGGATCTGCCTGTGCACCTCTGCAAATACAGTGTATGTTGTTTAATCACTTTTTCAGTGTATCAGTTATTTTGACATTTGATTATTTTCCTCAGATAAGGAATGTGCATTTTGTCAAATGTGTAACACCAAAATGCAAATAAAGCCTTAAATATTTTGCTCTGTACCTGTAGGGGAATCTCCCAGGAGGCCTTTCCCCAGAGACACCAGGCCTGGAGGCCTCAGAGACAAAGCTTTCTGCACCAGCAGCCTGGAAGGGTCCCCAAGCAAACCAGAGACCTGAGGAGAAACCAGAGGAGACAATCATTAAAGTGTGGGACTGAAGTGACTGAGCAAAGGACAAAGGACAACATGTGAGATTCTGAAGAAAATCAGAAGAGACAGAGTGAGAAAAACAACACACGACGTCAACTGTGTTGATCCAGCAGCAGTCATTCTACAGAGACTTTTAAAAACTTCAATCCCGCATCACAAAGACTTAATTTTCTCTTCACCAATTAAAGGAAACTCTTCAAAAGAAAAAGCACATGTTAGAAGGCGTCTTCAAAAGAAAAAGCACATGTTAGAACACAAGAAGGAAATTCACCCAATTAGAATGTGAATATTTGCGGGCAGTTTGGTTCTAATTATACATACAATTCTGAAGACATTCAGTACACAGAGCAAACACACACACACAGACACAGGTGTCTTACACTGCTGATGCGTTTGTCCTTGATGTGCAGGAGCTGCTGCTGTGCCAGCTGCATATGTAAAAGGTTCTGAAGGACCAGGCCATTACCAAGCAGCGCACTCTGTTGAGTGAAGGAGATAAAAAATCATTCCTGTCACAAAGTCAGACACAAACACACACATTTAAAAAAAAAAATCTCCCACACACGTGATTACACAGAGGTGTGACCTGGTGTGCTTTCCCCAGTGTGAGCAGAGCTGTGGTGAGAGGAGGTCTGAGGAACGGCAGGCTGTTGTGACGCCCGTACTTCCCTGAGGAGAAACACAAACAACGCCATAATCGATCCGTTCTTCTCTTCTAATTATCCTTTTCTTTCATTTTCCTCAAAGATTTCTTGGCCTTAACAAATCAATCTCTTTCTCGAAACACCTACACGGGTAAACTTATCAATCACACAGCAGCTCCAAGACTTATTTACACCACACCGAGAGCCAGACGATGCAACGTGGGCACAGAGGAAATCACATCTCATACAACTTGGGAAAAAACCCAAACAAAAACATTTTTTTATTGATGTTTAATGAGCAGTTAAAAAAAGATAAATTTCTTAAAAAACGTCAGAAAAGGCTCCAGCTGATGTACCTCACTGGCAGTTCCTCTTAAATCAGACATTTTTTTTCAGAAACATATGAAAAATGCAACAAAACTAAAAAAAAGAAAATCTGCAATCTTAGTTCTTCAAAGGGTTTGGGAATATTTCCTACCATGGTACTATGTCAAATATGACCGCTTAGTATATCTACATCAACACCATCATCTACAGCATGTATTGTGTTGTTGTTGTTCTGCTGTATAAAACTTGGGAAGATGCAAAAGTAATGGGTGGAAAAATGCTCGTCATCAACACAGACACTGGAGGAAATCACCTCTGTTTCTCAGATAATATACATATTTCTGTTTATAGTGCTGGTTTTTCTGTTATACTTTTTTTTATTTTACCACTAAAGTAGGCATTAGGGATGCATATTGAAAATGGAAAAAAAACTTTAATATGAACAGATGTTTGCTTTTTAGATGACGGTCAGACATGACATGAAGTCAAAAAGTCTGACACTATTTCTGATCTCTATTTATGTAATGATGAAGTTAATCCTCTACATTTAAGACTAAAAACACACATTCCCTTTCTGTGGAATTATGGGGGATCTGTTTAGCACCAACCTGCTTCTTTGTCTCGTCCAAGGACTGAAATTAAGTTCTTCCTTAAGTTATTTTAATTTTAGGAAAAGAAAAAACATGCCACACTGCAAAAATTCTAACAGGATTCTCCTGAGGTTTGGTTTAAAAAAAAAGTGAAGTTTGTTCAGATTATTGAATTGTTTTTTTAAGGGTTTAAATAATACAGAGCAGATCAAATAAACCTGCTCAATGTTCATCAAAGGTACAATGATAAAAGACAGGAACTCTGAAGTGGGAGGTTACAGTTTTTCCAAAGAACAAAAACACTGAACACGTCTGTGGCTCGTGTGTGCAGCACTGCTCTAAATCATACCACAGTCTCTTAATAAATGAAAGCGTCAATGCTAATGGTAGCTTTCTCCAGGATAGGTGGAGAAAGTTTAACATTTAATCAAGGGCCTAATTTTAGAATGGAATCGTGTGTGCTGTTCTTAAAGGGAGACCCTCCACCCTCCACCCCCGTCCTCCTAATGTCTCTTCTTAGTGCGCTCATTTTTCCCCCACTAATGTCACACAATTTCATTTTAATACCTGATTAGCCATTCGTCAAATAATGAAGCCGCGGAGGAGGTGATTACAATGTGAGGGAGAGTCTGAGAACGAGTGGAACTCTGATCAGGACTGTGATGGGCCAGCTAATTTACACTGATGTACTGTGTGCTGTACTTTCTACTGTGTCCATATTTTATCTGTGGACTCTTACAGTGTCACAGAGAATCTAAGGATTTTTATTTTGGTGTAATAAATGCCAAATTATGTCCATGGTAGAGACACTCAAAGGTTTCCAAATGTGTAGCACAAATTAATAAAAAAAAAGTCAAAAAGCCTAAAATCTAGTCAGTCAATAGATAAGGTCAGGAGAAGGCCCAAATCAAGGTCAAAAAAAATTTTCATATTTTTGCTCAATAAAGACTTTAAATAGACGAGTCAAGTCTTCAAAACTGACATTTACTTGGATATCGTTTTCTTAAAGTTTAATTTTGTTCGAGTGTTGGCATCTCACCTCCTCTCTTGCCAGTGTGGTACGGTCTCATGAGGATCTGCAGGGCAGCAGGGTTGGTCATACTGGTCAACAACTGGGCCAGGTTTGGTTCTGGTAGCAGACCTTTCCTGTTACTCAAAATCTGAAGGAGGAGGAGCAGAGAAACAGAGTCAGGTGAGAGGAGGAAAACTGGGACAGTGTGTGTGTGTGTGTGTGTGTGTGAGCTGTACAGTCCATTTTTGATGTTGTCATTAGCAGCCACTGACAGTCGTGGTTTTTATTACACAAGTTTACATCATCTTTGTTGTGTCTGCGCTGTCAGCAGTGAAGACACAGTGTCACCTGCTGAAGGTGATCTGGGAGACTAAAGAAAACAGCAAACAATGCGGAAAAATGGACACAACTGTCGTCGGGGAGGGAGGAAAAAAAAACAACAACTACCAAAAAACCAAAGTGAAAATTGTACTAAGATAATCAATCAATCAAGGTTGGATAAAAGCCAAGCAGGAAAATGAACTGAAAAACTATATAAAATTTCTAAAAGGGAGGCCAAACTGGTGAAATTTAGCACGAAACCACCACAAAAACAGCTTAAAAAACTAGAACTATTGTAGTAGTCTGACTAGAAAAAAAAACATAGGGGAGTGAAGAATGTAAGCAGTATATAAATACTGGCCACTTTAGTAAGTACACAAATAAATTAAAAAAAGTTATTTAAATCCACATTTATGTTTATAATTTTCAGACCACTAATGCTGGTTTGCACTCCATGTGGCAGCAGCAGCAGCAGCATTAGCAGCAGCAGCAGCAGCAGCAGCAGCAGCAGCAGCACTCACAGACTCCCTGACTGGCCCAGAGACACAGCTATTTAAAACAACATTAGCTGGATGGTGATATTTCTTCCTCATCTGCCCCTGAGCTACATACAGCATGACTCCAGCTCACGTCAACCTTGTTTCCCACATGTCACATCAGCAAAAGAAAGCATTACTGATGGGGATGGAGTGGGTTTGACTCCTGCCTGTCAGCAAGGCAGGAAGAGGAGAGTCTGGTCGTCGTGCACACGCGAGTACACACAACATGCAAGTTTGTGTGCGTGTGTGTGTTTGTGCATGTTCAACAAGGCCAGTCATAGCTGACAGTGCCTTTCAAGAGGAGAGAGAAAGAGAGAAAGAGGGAGTTCTCCTTTCCTTTCTCTGCTGGTTGGGGAAAATGTCACCATGCATCAGTCTGTTTGGCTACTGACACAAAATACAGCCATACACCCACACGCTGACACACACACACACACATGGCAGGGAGGTATGGAAGCTGCGAAGAAGGAAAGGCGAGAACAATCGCATAAGGAGAAGGATGGAGGGAGAAGAAAGGAGGAGGCTGGGGGAGGCCATCTGCTCCTCAGTGCTTCTACTCACAATCACTAACAAGAGAAATGAGGAGAACAGCCTCGGAGAACTGTAGCCAGGAGTAGTGTCTTGATAAGGTCCTGAAGCTCTGCTGCATCTTTGCTTTGTCTGTTTGTTTGTTTTGAGCTGCTCAGCTCCACTGCAGCTCGAACGTTCAGTAAACTCCGTGTCCTCTCAGCCTCAGACACTTGATGATTAATCAGCCGTCATTTTCTTCCACTCAGCCAGGACATTACTTCCCCACCGTGGCTTTTACTGCTAACAAATGCCTTTTCTCTGGGGGTTTAATCTCCATGTCTCTTTCCACACCGTGACATTTTCTGCATTGCCTTTTAACCTGTGAGTTTTGCTCACCCCAACCATCCGTCTCAGGGTTACAACTTCTTTTATACACACCTGACAGTTTCTGCTCGGCTGCCACAGCTGCAAATAAAGTATCGCTGTCTGCTACATTTCAGCAAAAATGATGGCACAGCAATTCTCAAGAGAAGTATGAGAAATAGAATAATGGAACATGAACTAACATGAGCAGGTCACTGCGAACCAGATTTTTTTTTTTTGGTTGATAAATGACATTCATATTAGATTCTATTCTGTAAAGATGAATCAACATAGTCTGAGGTAGAACAAAGAAAAGAAAGTATTTAATAAAGTATGTCGTGTTTTCAATTCCCTTAAAAAAAAAACTTCCTAATCCTAATAAAGTATTTATTACAGTATGTTGTGTTTCCTAATAAATTTTCCTAATTTTCTAATCTTTATGTATATACATATAAAGTCTTTCCTAATCTTTATTTATATACATATAAAAACAAAAACAAACAAAAACAAAGACATAAAAATGACTGAAAAAGAAAAACGATATGACATCTCTGCATGCTGTCCCTTAAAAAATTAAATATTTTAGACTAATTAAGTTGTTGGTTGGCATTTGGGTTAATTAGAACATGGTCTGCAGTGGAAAAGACAAATTCTAAACTATATCAATTAGGAAAAGGAAAAATGTTTTCTGCATACACCAAAAAAAAAAAAAAAAAAATCTGACTGTAATGACTAATAAATGAATCATCCACTGATGTCATTGCTATTGATTGTTACTGTTATGTGAAATGGGGGGAATGCACTTATTTGCAAGTGAAAAATTATTTGCAACTCAAAAGCTTACAAATAATCTACAAACTACAACCCATTTTGACTGTAATCAGACTAATGTTTCCATTAGTGCGACACATGTTCTGTTGTTGTGTGTGTGTGTGTGTGTGTGTGTGTGTACAGTAGTTCTACTGGGTGTTTGGATGTCTGTATGTTTTTTTGGAGTCATAACGTGTCACAGGCTGTGAGTTTGGTTTATTTCAGGCAGCAGGAGATGGTGGAGGAGCCCAATCAGTCTACAGAACTATAATTATCATGTCAGTCGCTCTGCTTCCACAGTGCTGTGTAGGAGGGGACACCACAGCTACAAAGAGTCTTTCAACCAGTCTGCTCATGCATGTGCACCATGTCAAACCCCTGTATACAGTAGGTCCACAGTAGATGTTCCAATAAGCAGTTGGAGCTGGCTTCACAATTTGATGTGGCTGTGGCAGGCAACGAGTGGGATTGTTTTTGTGTTTATACCCAGGCCGGGAGGATTTGACGTTTTGGTCACAGTGGTCCAAATCACAAAAACATAGAAAATTAAACATATTTAATTAGTAAAGTCTGATAGTTGCAGGAATCTTATTTAATTAGTAAAGTCTGATAGTTGCTAAAAGTTTTTTTAAGTTTTCTAATTTCCAGTGTCAAAGGAAGAACAAACTTAAATAGTGATGCAATCGACACACTCTAGAAGTCCTTGCAAGCAAAAACGGCTAACATCTAATGATCTTAAGCTACAACTGTTTATTGTTAATAATTTGTTTATTGTCTGTGAAGTAAAAACCCTGACAGTAAATTTAATAAAAACATTTATATATGTCACAATCATCAGTTAAGAATTCAAATGAGGAATGAAGCTGCTGAAGGCTTCATAACACACATATACATATATATTTTTTTTAGGAATAATTGCTTTAGGAACGATCATGCCCGTAGAAACCTTTTTGTACCTAAACATTCTTCACCCACAAGCAACATTTTATAGTTGGGTGATGAATTAGCATGGAAGAAAACGTCCCTTAAACTACTCACCATACCCTGAGCAGCTATGAGTGCAGCCAGGGTGCTTCTCCCTGAGGTACCAGGGCTACAGAGTGACAGGCGCACTTCCTGTCCTCCCACCAGGGTCCGGTCCATGACCGTCAGCACAGCCTCTGCCTGCTCTGCATTCTCGTACTCCACTACACCAAACCCGCGGATAGGGCTGCCCTCGTCTTGTGCAAGCTGTTGAGACAAAATAACATAACAATATTAAATTAATTCATACAAAATAAATAATATATATAATATAATACAATTTAATATATACTGTGGAACAAACAAGAAAATATTAAAACTGAATTTGACTGCAATGCCAGCGTACCTCCTGGGGGACTCACCCACCATTTTGGGAACCTCTGGATCTTTTTTGCTGTTTTAGGTGAGTTTTTATTTTTGCTTCATGCCTTTCGTAACAGGTTGAAATCTAGGGGGCGTGGGGAGTTTTATGGACACCACTATGCATGTTGTCCATTCATTGCCCTCCATCATATATAAAAACTGTCCCCTGCTTCTGTTTTCTTTGCTTTTGTCAACATAAGATGAGTCTAAAGTGAGTCAGCACACAGCCGAGTAATTACTATTGATCTGCGTCACTTCGCTCAAAGGAAACAAACATTTCCTTCTTTCTTTATTTCCTTTACTCAAAAATGTTCAGAGAGTGTTTTTCTCCATATGATGCTGCGTTTCAGTAAAACAGCCTCATAAACAAGTCTGGGTTTTCTGTTCAAGGTCTATTGAAATGTGATTGATAGTTAAAAATGAATTGATTTTAACTTCTCTATCAACCATTTTTATTCCACAGTGTTGGTTTTGGAAAAAAAAAATAATAGGAAGAATGCACAACTTCCAAAGGATAAAAGTCATAGGTTTGGTGAGCTGCTAAGTGGTAAAGTATATGAAGATATTTGTATGTTGGCATGGACATTTTTCATAGTGGGATAATTCAATGGCTTCACTGAGACAGCTCACAGCTGAAGGATCAGAGCTGCGTTGATGACCTTCAGTCTTTGTTTTTCTGTTGGCCAGTGGACTTTGTCGTCACCAGTTGTTTTGAAAGAAAACACTGGAATTAAGTGAAGGTGTTGTGAGGAAGTTCAGCTACTCACCAATGCTACGACAGCACCTCAGCCCCAGCTTATATTACTGTAGATAATTCTAATCTTCTAATATATGCTGCGAGCTGCTTATTACAATTTTGTTTATCTAATCAGAAAGAGTAAATGGCTCCAAATACTTTCATCTATTCTGCATTAATAAACCATAAGGAGGTGAAAACAATCAGACTATTTCTGCACCAAGCATATCTCACATCTATGAACACCAGACCTGACTGTTTGTTTGAGTTTTTTTGTTGTTGCTAATTTTAAAAGCAAAAGAATATAAAAACATTTTTTAGTCATGGCTAGACAAGCAGGAGAAATTACGCCGGCAACAGGCAAAATCATCAAACAGAATAACAGTCACACAATGAGAACAAAAAAAACAACATCATACACATGTAATGATGGTCATTTTTTTGTATTCAGGCCCTGAATATGTAATTAAGATCACACAAAGATGTAGTGACTAACCATCACCTCACAACAAGGTGGTTGCTTGATGGATGAAGTGCAACTTTGACTCGTAAACAAGACCTTCTGAGATGAGGATTATTCAGACACTCCCCTTTGGTTTGCCTTTTTTTTTTGGACATGTTATGGACTAGAGACCTTTCTAAGATCTTTTAGGATCGGCTTCCGCTCTTTCTGATACCTTTAATAAGATGGATGGGAGAATGAGGAAGGATAAATGATTGATTGGTTGATTGATGGAGCTGGGTGTTTGAAGCAGCAGGGTATGTTTTAAAAAGAAGCAAAATAATCCCATAATGGACTTATTTAATGGTCAATTTCATTGAAAACTCCATTTCTTATTTTTTTTTATATGTAAATTTGATGGAACAACCTCATTACATTTTCCCTATGGTTAGTGGTCAATAAATGGATCTCCAAGGGCCAAGGTACTGCTGACCAGTTAAGTCACAACTAAATAATGCAGGCAGTGTAAACATCTTAAAACTAATGGGAGATATGAAATAATCAGAAGGTCTAAAAGCTAAAAGCTTGTGGCGGAAAAGCACCAGATGAGGTACAGTCAGTGGCAGGTAATCTCATTTGAAATGCTTAAGGTAAACAGGGTGTTTTTGGACAGTATAAGTATGTATTCACGTAAGAGATCCATTTGCACTCATCGTGCTGTTGTGCGGAAACAAAAACACAGGATGTCAATCTTGGCTTATGGTTATGTTTTGCATCGCATCAACATTTAATGATGTGCAGGGAAAATCACACGAGATAAATCCTACAGATTTGTGTCTTAACACTCAGTGAAAATGTTCTTGTCTACATAGTGCTCCAGAATAAACTCTACAAAGAAAAACCTGTCAGTAACAGTTCCCTCTGGGGAAGAAATCAAACTGCCACAGGGCTACAAAGAGCAGAACCCCACCAGCACATGAAAGAATGGCAGAATCAGCAACACATATCAAACACACACCACAGGAGGATCTCGTGTTCAGAAAACGAAAATAAGAACAGAACAAAAAGGACAGGGGCTGGAGGGTAAGTCTGTGTATTCAATAAATGACTCACGAAAGTTCAATGTTCTTATAACATTATTAATTCCTTCAGTGAGAGCCATGACCACCTGGTGAGCTATGAAGGTATTGCAGATGAGCCATAAAAAGTAAAAAGGTAAATCATAGCTACTGCATTCTGGGGCACAAAGGAAAATCAGAACTTAACCTGGGCCTCTATGTTGTAAATTTTATCAATGGAAAAATAAGATTACAAAAAGGAACCAATATCAGGTTTAAAGAAGCACTCACCCAAGACTCTGTCTTTGCAATCCAAGGAATAAGGAGTCAAGACTAAAGCACTTATTTTGAGCTCGTTTTCTTTTTTGAGTGATACCTTTTTGTACTGCTCTGCTGTATGAAAAGGTACCACTGACACTGAGACACAAATCCTGGGATTATTATAAGATATTTTTCTGTACAAATAACAAAAGCATGAGGGGGGAACTAAGGTAGCATGCCTGCATTAGAGTGGCCCTTCAGCGGTCAAAATTTCTTCCCTATTGAAAAGTCAATCTGGTTCATAACATCAGAATCAGACTATTAACTAACTGTTTCAGTTCAAAATGATTAGATGAAAATGTGTTTTATTATTACACAATTTTGATTCATATCTATCAAGTTTGCATAGAAAAATTTAATTTCTAAAACAAATTCTAAAATGTGTCATAGCATTTAATACCTCGTACTGTATGAAGATAGACTGCTAAAATAAACATCCTCAAAAACAGTGAAATTATTTACATAAAAAAAAATCATCAACAACTTGTGTGTTGATCACCAGCGAGTTGGTAAAGTCTGATGTGGGCCAATCATGCTAATATTCAAAAGTATATTTAAACAGGCAAAAAAAATTGCAGAGCGTTTGATTGCAACAAGGCTCCAAACGTTGCCACATAATCACACTCCAAGCTACATAACCACGTTAGACACTTTTCTGTAAAAGTTGGCAGATCACAAATCAGTGGGAGAGAAATGCATTTGCACATTTTCCAGCCTGATCGCTGACGCCTCTTACATCAGCGCTCAATCAAGTGGCCCTTCACTTTTTCCTGCCCTCCTCCCCTTCCTCCCATTTATGGCTGTACCCTCCAGTCTGAAGAGAGAATAGATGGATGGAAGAAGGGAGTGAGGGAGAGTGAGGAAAATAAATGTGTTTGTGGAGGAGTAGGTCGATAGGCTATTATCATCAGCATACATTAAGCAAGCGGTATGGAAATGACTCAAACTACTTCACAACAAATGCTGGACAGATGGCTGGATGGACGGACGGTTGGATGGACGGACAGAGGAAGCTGACAGAAGATGTAACCAAGAAAGAGACAGCAGAGTGGAAACAAATGGAAATCTTTATATTAAAGTCTGGAGTGGAAGTGGAACATATTTTATATTTCAAATTCAATTAAATGCAAAAAGTACTGACGTTTTCATCAACTTTGTAACCGGGTTCGCGCGAGAGTAATAGTTCGTACGCTAAGTGTAGCGCTCTGTGCTCATACTTCTACTCTCTCTATATGAGAATATTCAATCATTATTCAAATCTGCATAAACAATTATGCTAATTTATTGCAGGCCTGTGTGTATGTGTCACGACCTTTGCATGCTGCAGATGTTTGTTAAACAAATCTACGAAAATGGAAAGAAAATAATTCATAAAAACAGCACTATTAGCAGAAAAGGAAAATAAATATTACTTAAATACTTCAGTGGAAGCATGTATTATTGTTAATGGATTTGGGTGAGAGATTCTCAGTAACATCTTCAATGAACAAACCACCTGTGGATACACATCTACATTTTATGGATACCAATGCACAACACATTTTCTTCCCAAATCTGGCTGTGTGTAAATTCTGTGCAGAAACTAACGATGCAAACCTGACCATGACTGTGTTTGACAGCTCGTGACCTCAAGTGACCTCAAGTGGCTCTGTCTCTGGGTGTTTGATCATGCAAAGTCAGTTGTCCGAGCCCATCGATGGGGTCATGAAAGGGCCTGTCACGGCTGGCTGTGAAGGGAGGTACATGACCCCATGACACTGACGAGTTAAACGGTAAGAATCTTGTGATGAAGATTTGGCGATATCATTTTATTTCTTGCAATGTTAAAAGTACCTTTCTTGAGTAAAACTGTTGATATATCTCTATGTTTCCTTTTATTGTCTGAATAACAAAATACAGATGACCCTCAACAATAGCAATATTTCTTCCACTTTTACAGCTAACAGTTTCATTCTCAAGAAATGCGGAATGTCTGTTTATAAAATATTTTTTTCATTAGCTGTCCATCCTTTCTCATGTCCCTCTGTCCTTTTATAGTAATTTTAAAGTCCTTGCAGGCACAGCACATCTTCGACCAGCATGCGGGATCTTGTGTTTTTGAGCTTCTGCATGTCAGTGTGTCCTCGACCACAGTTAACTACAGCAATAAATTCTGACAGTGTGGGGAAAAAAAGTGCAAGCAGGACATTGAACCTTGTACTACGGAATCATAAAAAAGCAATTTTCCCTGTCAGTTATAATGGTCGAGTACAGAAGAAAGGAGCTTTTCCCTGTCAGTTATAATGGTCGAGTATAATGTGTATTTGCATGAAGGCTGCCATCTAGACTCAGTTATTAAAAAGATACCTGTTACATTTTTTTTGTTTATAAAAATAAAAAACAGGAGATGTGAATTTTTTTGTTTATAAAAATAAAAAACAGCAGATGTTCTGTCATGACATTGTCAGAGGTGAACATCCAGTTTACTTATTTTGTTGTCAAATCCTTAGTAACAAAAATACTAGCAGTCTTCATATTGTACTGTGATTGACATTCAACGCCTCTTCACCACTTCACCTCAGCTTTCCATCCTCTTTGTCTCTCTCCATGCCTTGATTAGGCTTCTGATGCTGACAAGGTCCTTCTTCCTCGAGCCTTTCTTACTCTAATAGGTCTGACATTCTCAGCTTCATTTCTCATCTTTACCTCCACCTTGGAGGTCTCATTTCTGCTGCTCCTTCCTTTAACGTGGCTAACACTCTTCACCCTTTCTTCCCTGAATTGCATTTGGCCCACTTGAACAAAGTGCTGCCTCAAAGGAAAATTCATGGGTAGCAAAACACTTCACTCTGGGCCAAGGCCATGGGTGGAGTGCACCGTGAACAAGGAAAAGAAAGAAGAGGGCAAGCCTTAAAATGTTTGTTTTAGAAAAGTTGTGAGTAGGGGATAATAAAATGATTCATATACTTAAATTGGTAAATTTACTAATAAAATACACAACAGTCCAGCCTCCCATATAATAGAACATGTTCTGAATTTTAGACTTTATATGAAATGATGGCCAGAAGTCCTACCACATTTGATCTTGTATTCTTAAAGTGATGGGTGTAATGGTGGAACATGTTGATGCTCTTAAACTATTATTAATGTGTTTTACAGGGTTGGTCATGTCCTTTAATTTCCAAAATATGTAACTGTATTCTGTAACATTTTGTTCCAATTCCCAAATCTTAAATAACTGCTAGCTGGATTCAATGAAATGACAACCCTCTGAACTGTGCTTCGCCTCATCCTGTATCTCCAGTAGATACGCGGTGAAGTGCAGTTACGCAAACAAGCCCATTCTATACTGTACAAAGAAGCCCACACTGAACCATAGGTCAAAGCCTGCTGGCAAATCAACAGTGAAGCAACATGAGCTAAACACCCACAAAGCATCATGGGAGCAGAAAGATGTGGGTGTATTGATTTCTATGAAGGAGTGGGGCGGAGAGGTGGAGCTAAAACAAGAAATGCAATAGAGGCTACATACACAGTGAGTACTGACTGAGTGGGCAGATGAGGGTGGAGGGTCTGTACCAGAGCAGAGTACTCATACGGTTGATGGCAAAAATGATGTCAGCAGGTATGAAAAGTATCGTAGGTGGGAGAAAGTTAAATGGGCGGAGCCAGTGTCACAGCCACACCTCGCTGTAGGAACAGTTGCTAGGTGACCCTGTGAGGTCAGAGCTTCCCTAAGGATCTGACCATACATGGTCTCAGACTTTTACTTTTGTCACACTACAAAGTATTATATAAATGAAAACAGAAGGAAGAAACATGTTTTTCATAACTTGGTTTGTCGGCACAAACATGTTTAATGAGCCATTACTAACTACTGGGCTGCAAACATTTTTCCTCCGCCACTGCTCGACGTGACATGGAAATTAAACACCTTGTCAAGTATTTCTTATGCTGCTATTATATTTGCCAAACTGTCTGTCTGTCAATTCTACAGGCACTGCTGGATTTATGATATATCACAGCTTTATACCAAAAGCTTTAAACTAATGACTTCCTCCATATGTAGCTGAGGCTTTTAAGGCTGTTTGCGTGTCTATGATATTCCACACAAAACGAGCCGAGCCACACTAATGAAGCCAGAGCTCAGTCGTAGTATACTGCAGCTTTTTCTTTTTCTGGAACCTTATGGAAAGCCTTAACAGAAATAGCAGATTTAATCTGTTCGCTGCCTATGGGATATTTTCAGTTGGGGAAAATTCAGGCATTCAGTTTTTAACACAGCTGCAAAGAAGGACAAACAAAATAAACTCACCTGGCAGAAGACAGGTTTGTAAGTTTCAGAGAAAATCTGTGCCAATTCTTCAGAGTCACAGAGGTCCAGGGGCAGTCTGTCCACACAAAGACACTTGGAGTGCAGGTTCTCCTCCTGGCTCAGCTGGTTGACGTCCATCCACTGCACCATTAGAGAACGATCACCCTGTTGATGTTTGTGACATTTACACAGTAATTTAATTCAGATTACAGAACACAGGTACACCCAACTACTGCATTTCTAGCAGTGAAAAAGACAATATTTGTCATCATGGCCACATGGCATAAACATAAACAGCAACTCAACTTACCATTGGTCGGCCCAGCAGCTCAGAGCGGGCCCGGGAAGCAGAATCCTTCTTCATGTATTCAACAAATCCATATCCTTTGGAGTGACCCGTCAGCTCACTGTACACCAGGAAGGAGCGTTCGATGTTCCCGTACGTCCGCACCAGTTCCTCAAACTGCTGGGAAGTGAAGGTGTGGGGAAGGTTGGTGAGGCAAAGAAGCGAGTCCGTCGGCTGCAGCGTGACGTTGATCAGGCGTCCGCGGACAGTGCTGTGATGGAGGGAGCGGATGGCATCCTGAGCCTGGTCCCCGTTCAGCAAAGTCACAAAGGCTGGAGGAGGGGACATTATGGAGACGACGCGGGGAAAAGGCAGACAAAGGACAAGGACAGACAAGGAAAGAGATGTCCAGACATAAATGGACGGGGATGAATGAGTGACACACACAAACATGTAAAGCGGACATTGAAAAACAGGCACAAAGCAAGTGTTGGGAATAGTGGATTGGACATAGTCAAAGAACATTCACAAAGAAAAAACAATGACAAAAAAAAAAGAAAATAAAAAAAGACGACAATTGAAGCACAAAAGTACAGATGGACAGTCATAAAGACAGACACACAGATACACAGAGAGAAATACAACACATTAGCTACAAAAGCCACTCAGGAGCCAATAGGTAGGGGGATCCACCGGGACACACATATAGACACCTCGTTACCTAAAACCTTCAGTTAGTATGTTATGAAACCAATGACACTGCTTATTTATTGAAAGAAAATAAATGGTTCTAGGTCCTTCTAGGTCCTTTATTGGATCAATTAAAACAGTAACCTGGAGCAAAATGACGCATAACTACCTTTAACTGTTTAACTTTTTAAGCAGGAGTTTATTTTTTACAGTTAATTGCAGTTAAAACAGAAATTAAGAAAGTGGTTTTTAAACAGTGTATGTGCTGAATGTACAGGTTAGTTTTTGTGTATGGGCCAGGCCTGAACACCATCAACTGTCAAAGCATTTCTCTCTTCAGCTATTTCATGCTAGAAATCATTGGAAAATCTGACAGCAAAAAAGAAGTTGAGGAATATATCACACAAAAATACCTTTAAAATGATTAAATTTAAATATAGATTGCTGTTAGGAAGAACAGCAAACCTTTTTAGGGAACTACTGACCCCTACTACCATCTAATACCATCATACGCTCTCATCTACATTAAAGGTATGTAAATTGGCTTTTTTCTATGCAGGAAATGTGGGTGGAAGTGATTATTTTGAGCTTCTTTAAAGCAGGCCGTGAACAACAGGTCATTTTATAGCCACCCCACTGATGTGTGTACAAGACAGCAAAACAGAGCAACGCTGGGGTCATTAAATAGCAAAAGGAACTGAAAGTTTTCCTCAAATAAATTCACAAAATCCCAAGTCTGATACAGAACACACAAGCTAACTGGTACTGTATGAAATGAAAGACTAAAAGCTCAAGTTTGTGCTTATGAAGGCCAACAAATCACTGAGTGATTGTTAAATTATTTTGAAAAAACACTGGCAGCTGTAGCCTCTGTCACTGAAGATGAGCAAAAAAAACCCAAAAAACACAGCAGTATAGCAAAAGACTTTTCAGTATAACAATAACACGGTTGAAATTACACTGGAGTGATCTGAAAAATACATTTGAGTCAGTAGTAAGAGACCTTCAAACTGACAAGGTTGCTGCACAATTTAACAATTCTAGTTCATCGCAACTAAGCTGGTTGACCTAAATTAGTTCCTAAAATATAAAAGTAGTCAGCAATAAAAACAGTGCAAGCTTGACATTTTCTCTTCACTAAGTTTTAATCATAAACCCCCAAAAAACCCTTCATGTTTCTAAGATACAGGAGGGAAGGGACATATGTCCAAGTAAATCTACATCTTCCAAACACTTTGTAAATAAAACGTTAGCATTAAAATGTAAAATTCAGCAACAACATGTAGATCCACCAGGGGTGTTTTCTCTAAGGATGTCAAGAGAAGGTTACCAATATTCACCCTGGCTTGGGAATCTTACAATTCTGTTTGAAGATCGCAGCTCCTTAGCAATGTGTCAGAACTGTCTGCACATCAGCTCCGCACTTCTTCTATTTAACATAACTGTATTTACGTCATGTCTTGTGGCCACAATTTTTCACTCTTGCCCACTCAGATTCTTCTTCAGATTCTCAATTTCCATTCACATGCCCCTGGATCTGTCTTTAGATGCCTCCTTCACCCAAATCAATTTCCTCAAACTCCATCTAACACTATTACGCACACTCAAACACCCTTTAGTGATCCCTTTCACAAAGCTGTTAGCCTAATCTGGTTTTGACCTGCTAAGTGAGCTGCCTTATTTGGAGCATTAGCAGTAGATGGTGAGAACATGTTTTTATGCCAAAGCCTCTCTGTCTCCCCCTTCTCTCTCTCTTTTATTGCCTGTAATGGGAGAATGCAGTCTGACAAGCGGGGGATGATGTCAAATTCTGTACCGTGCTTTATTCAGCAACAAAGAAAATTGTAAGACTCCAAAATGGTGTGGAAAGTAATGTTGCAATTCACAGCCTGGCAGCCACTGCGTGGGCTACCAAGTGATCTTTGTCAAAAAAAAAAAGCAACGGAAAAAAACATGGGGAAAAAAAGTACACCAAAGAACCGACATTTTAATTATGGCTCTTTGCTTTTGAACATGTTGATTATTTTCAATGTTCCTGTGAGGAAATTGTAGAAGCACAGGAAGAGAAAAAAAATCTTCCATGTAAATCACCTCAAAGGCTGCAATTCTGCTGCCACTTTTCCTCGATAAAGGAATTAATTAAAAACAGGGGAGTTACAAACACACTGCCTCATGAAACTCTAGGGGCTGATCTCCATGTCGTCTGTAAATTGGTCCTGCCGCTTCATCTCAAACCCAAGGATATGTTAAAAGTCTCAGGTAGTGAGAGGAATCATGGGATGAAACAACACAGTCAAGTCAAAAGGGGGAAAAACAGAATCTACATTTGCATTTGTTGTAATGTATCAGCAGTCTTCTGGATTAACACGATTTATATAAATATAATTCCACTTGGCATTTATTATTGTCCTGCAGTATAAACTTGAATAAACCACTCTGTCATTGTGACAGTTTTTGTCAAAGTTTGCAGATGGCATCCAGGTTTCGTGGCCTAGAGTAGATTTATATTTACACTGTAAAATCCACGCAGTGTTCAACCTAAGGCTCCTAGTCTTTCAGTCGTTCTTGTGAAAGTCCATCCTGCTTCTAGTACATGTAGACCAAATCTATTAGTGATTCCCAACCACTGTGCCATGTCACACATGTGCTGTAGGAAATTATTCAATATTATTTAATTGGTCGGTAACTTTTATTTTTTACTGCCAATAATATTTATTAATAATTAAATATTCTTCTACTAGGTGACAGCAAATGGCTATGAAAACTAAAATTAAAGAACCTAAGCTCTGTTTAAGAATCTTTGTGTTTCTTTCTTCAATTCCTGCAAGTATATTAGTGATGCTTTCAACTAAATAGACAAGGGTTGTTTTGTCTATTATTTCTACATTAGAAGGAAAATTCAGACACTTAAAAGCAAAAATGAAAATAGTTAAGTTAACTCTGCGTGAGAAAAGCAAAACAGCTGGCAAGACACCATCTAAACTGAGCTCAGAAATGTCAGATAAGAAACGAAGCTGAGCCAGACGCAGTTGACAGGAGCAGAACAAAGCTTCCCTGATGTGCAACTGCACATGTGCAGTTGCTTATTTTCTTTGACGACAGAAACAGCAGTCTGCAGTGCTAATAGGCATTATTACAGATGCACAAAAAGTGTGAAAAGTGGTTCAACAGTTATAGTCAAACTCAGTCTTTCATATCATTCTGTTTGCCACCGAAAAGAAATGACATGTGGGCAGGAGGCAGACACAGAGAGAAGGAAAGAAATGTCACAAAAATGCATGGCACAGGTCACTAGCGGACAACATGAAACAACTTTTCCCAGAATTTTTTTAACGCAATGCTGTTGTAAAGCACAAAACAGGGCTGGCAAGTTTTTTGGGGGCAGACTTTCTGTGAGTGGAGCTTTTTTATTGTTTGTAATGACAGTAAAATATATATTTTTTAAAAAGACGGGATAACCTTCATTGTTTGTTCCACACATTGATTCATAATATATCTCAAACCTGAAATACTTTTAGTTGTACATACAGATTGTTGTTGGTGATGATAACATTATGCCTGTTGACAAAGACCAGATTCATGTTAAGCAAATGCAGCAGATGGGTTTATTACACACAACCATCTGGGAGGGCTTCATTGGAAACTGGTCCTGAAAGGGCAGATGCTTTAAAAAAAATGCTTGGCAGGTTATTGGACAAGACCATCTGTCAATCACAGTTGCTTACAGCAGTTGAGACAGAAATGAAAGCAGCCAAAACTGAATTAATAGTCATTTTGTCAATAAGATTTGGTCATCATTAAAACAGTAATGTAATATATGTTAATTGATTTCCTGCACTCCCCAGTTCAGGTTCGTGTGTTTTTACCTTTCAATATAATATACATACAATATAGTTTTTGACATAAATTGAAATCATGGTTGAGTAATGATGTCAGATTTCATTTTTGCTGAGAGATGAAAGGTAGATGAGAGTTTACTATGGACCTGAGGTTGGTTTCCAAGAATTACATCATCACACACACAGACACACACTCACACAGGCATGCATGCAAACACACACACGTGCATACACAGACATGCACCCACACACACAAACACACCCACACATACACTGAATATTTTAACTACTCTTCATAATTACGCTTCACTAAATAAACCCATCAGATCACATTAAACAATTTCTTACAGAAGAGTTTTGTTCCTGGAAATTAATATATAAAAGGAGATTTCATAAAACAAAGAAGAAGGAATTCAGCAAAGAAAATGTGATGAGAAGAACTCGACTCATTCTTGGACAATTACTTCAAAAAAACCAAAAAGGTTCGGTCTGGTTCTGAATCTAAAATACAGCCTGACTTTTCTCACTGACCCCTGATTCTACTCATGTTGCATTGCACTTTCATTTGAAACTGCAGTTATGCCTTTGCAACAAGCACAACAACTCTTACGGTGCTGGATGATTTATTTTCATAATGACTGAATACAATAATGTCCAACTAAAGAGCTACGCCGCCTTTTTTTTGGATTACCTGAATATACAAAGGCATATTCAAAATGGGTGTAGATTTGAAGGATCTGATGTTAATGTAGTTGTTGATCATTTGTCGGGTTTTTTAATATTTCACAGGGAACAGAGAATAT